GAGTGAGCGTAGCGAACGAACTTCAACCAGGACGTGAATGAGCCATGCGAATACTTATGAAGTTAAACGGGGCAAAGCCCGCGGGTACAGCTAGTAAATAATAAAAATGGAATCACTTACGTTTGTATCCTTGCATCTATCTCTGACCATTAACGGCAATCTTTTCACGGAGTTATACAATCCAATACCCGAGTTTACATCAAATGACTGTTATAAAGGTGGTGTTTATATAAGTTTACCAGCATAAGGATCTACTGACACATTTATATAATCGTATCTAGTCTGCCTTTATGTATATATGTTAATTAGCATCCAAACTGATTGATTTTTGCATTCTGTGCATTTAAATTAAACTATTTATGTTACTACGTCTAACTTTCTAAGCACAATTTAAAGAAAAAAGTTTGTGTGCCAAATTAAAAGATATTTCAGATAACCGTCGACGTTACTAAACATTAATATCAGTATATTTTTCTAAAGGACTAAGGAATTGTTTGTTGATTTTACAATAACATAACACTACAATGTAGTAGAACATATTTTGAACCAAATTGATTTTTTACTATACAACTTTTAACACGTCTTGAAATTTTTAATTGATTAATTTATCATATTGTTACGTTGCTATTGTTTCATAACTTGTTAAAAGTATATTTAAGCATAATACAAAAAGGAAGTAATCTATTTACCATTAAACTCTCTAACTGTCTTTTCAACGCAGTCTGTTGACAAGTTTTGAGACAATTTCTGCTCACAAGTGTGACTGACTTGGAGATAATGGAATCGTCAAGCTACCTACATGAAAGGGACTTACAGAATATTACTTAGGGTTGAATGAAACAACAGTAATTTATTTGGTCTTATTATAGATTACTTTGTTAATTAATAAACCAAAAACCAAGATAGTAAAAACCAAATAGTGTATCTCTGTGAGGTCGTCTATGCATCAGAACTAATTGAAATGTGAATAACAGATCAAAATATTGTTGCATTTAAGAAAATAATTATCTAATAAATTGTACATTTGATTCTTTCTCAATTAAAAATGTCCCAAAGATATTATGGTTATAAAAATATTCTGGCTATAAAGAAGTACATTATTTAACAGCTGTTAATAAAATTAGAATAGCCGAAGTAAAAATGGTTCGTTTTAATTTCTTTGCCAGAATAAGAAAACAAACACCACGGACGTATGCTAATTTTATAATATTTTAACATAAAATCAAGTTTTCTATAGCTTCTCATATCCAAAGATATCAGGTGGGAAGCAAAAATCACATAAAAAGGTTCCTAGTATGATTTAAAATTTACTCGAACCACTTTTCCACTTAAACACTTAACACGAGAACGCTTACACTTTAGTGTGCCTTAAAAGCGGCACTTAATTGCAGGATCGAACAAAAGGTTAATTTAACTTTACATATACTGACCTTTCATTGATTTCTGTAACAGGGGATTTACTATGAGTATTTCAGGGACTTCTATAACAAAAAATTATTAGAAAGACTACAGTGACTTCAATAGCTAATGATTATTTATGTGAAATTAACAGATTTAAATTTAAAACTATATATCTTTGTTCTAGATATTTTGATTCAAATAGTTTTAATCCATGTAAAGGACAGCATTTACACAATTTCTTTTACCACAGAGTCTTCAACAATAGTATATTGAATTAATAAATAGTTTAAAAGGTGACTTAATGTAGAGAAACTCACAACCCCGAGATCGTTAAAATAAACCTATTTTGTTTATCTTTTTACATATTGAATTACGTATTATATTTACATAGTTTTAACAAGTATTTCTTTGATGAATAATCTTCTGCGATAGTGGGTTCAATGGGGGAATAAGTCTGGGAAACCAATATAAATACTAGAAATTACTAACCAAATCCTAGCATGTCTGCCGTGAATTCAGCGTAGTTTACAAGATGTTTCTTGACGTATGAAAACAATGATGAAATTAACATAAAACAGCATTGTAGACTAAGTGTTTTACAGTTAACTTACTAAAAGATTTTAATGACAGTAACTTCAATATAGCATCTGAATTTGGGTTGAATTCTTGTCAGTGTTTTTGAGACAGCACATGTTTCCAAGACCACATACAATGGCGTTTCCTACAAGAAAATATTGATTTAATCCACAATAAGTTAGAAGTTTTTACATAATTTATAAGGAGTTTTATTGTTACTCCAACATAAAATGAGCATTTTCCCTGCTTTTAAGCCATACATTGGCCCAGAGCATGTGACAATAATATTTTTTTTTTACTTTTGTAGATCTAAAAACATGCAGTTTTGAAAATACTAAAAGCTTAACTACCTACTATGATTAAACAAATATTAATCTACTAACTTCCTTATCTAGCTACATAATCTACAGCAACTTCCTTATCTAGCTACATAATCTACAGCAACTTCCTTATCTAGCTACATAATCTACAGCAACTTCCTTATCTAGCTACATAATCTACAGCAAATTTAAATTCGTCAAATAATACCACAAATGAAAAAAAAGTATCCACAAGAAAGGTGATATTAATGAACAAAGTGCAGATGTGCAGTCCTTCTTAATTTTCTGCCACGACATTAATTGTGTACTTTAAAAGATTTGCTCTTATTTTAGCAAATGCGTGACATAAATTTAGCGATGTAAAAATAAAAATACACTTTTTCATATCATACTTGCTTGAGCAAAATTCTTGAGAAAACAATATGGACAATCAGCTTATTTTACCGATTCTTAACAAAAAATTGAAATCAGTTGTTTGACTTTAAGCTATTTAAATTGTACAACCAAGCAATTTGTTGATTTTAGATTCATTAGCAAAGCTTTTTTCCTTCGGATCTGTGGAAATAGGTTTTGAATTCGTTACATTGAGACTTTAACCCTGCATATTTAACATTGTAGGATTTAATAAGAAATACCACTTAGGAATGTTGTACAGCATTAAATAAATAGTACTTAACCACAAAACAGATAGGTCAGTGCTGTAGCAATAATAATCTATCTCAGTATTCTATTATTAAATGGATACTCTAGCACCTACACGAGTTAAATATATTTTGTATATCTACTTTTGGTAAGAAAAGGATATCATTTTCCAATACAAATGGTTAAACTTTGAATATTTGTGGAAGTGGTTGAACCTCACAAACGTAATGATATAAAATATTCAACTGTTGCGTGTGCAGCTCTACACGATAACTTGACTGAGGGCAGCTAACCATGTCACAAAGCTGAAATGTTTTACATTTTTAACTAAATAAAAAGTGTATGGGTGGTAAATACCTTTATATATTATAGGTTTTGCATTCAGTTACATTCCCATGCATGTATTCTCCATTAGATGTGGTTATTTGAAAACTAAACAATGCTGTACAAATATATATATAAATGCATATATGTGCATATTGTTTCCATTGCTGGAAACCAAATAAACAAGTCAATATTCTAAACATAACACATGAATTAATGAAATTTCTTTGTCCTTGATAAACAAATTTTTATAGAGTTTTCCATGTATACTTTTTTTAGGCAACTATTCTAATTCTACATTAACATAATTGTTATTCAAAGAAAACTTGAATATAAAGGTTATTCAGCTTCAATACCCAATTATTTTTGTATTTTCATAAGCTTATTAACTTAATTGGGTTTTTTACTAATTGTTCAAATTTCTCTCTAGTGGTTCATTTAATAAGCTTATACGGACACAGCCGTATATAAAAAAAAATCGTCTAGTAGAAAAAATATACTGTAATTATTATTTGTATACAAATTATATGTTAAATAAAAAAAGTAATTGTTACTAAGAATGGTAAATATTGTATTACATTTTTTTATTTGAATTTTTATGAACTTGACACTTGAGTCCCCCACCTACGATTGGGTTTACTTAAAATTACAATACAATAATTGTACCAACTATCTTTTTGTACTTAAACCCAACATTATAAACAATGTTGTATTAACAAACAGAGCAAAAGGCATCAGGACAACAATCTATGGATATGTAGAACAACTTTGAGCCGAAACGTCAAAAGATTTCCCGATTGAAAACATTTTCAAACATAGTTTGAAACAAAATACGTTCACCAAAACATTATATTTTATAAATAAAAGAAAACTTCATCTAAAATATACCAATCAACGGGATTTAACTTTATAACTATAGATATTCTTTGCCAATGGTCAATTAGGAAGTAAAAGGCACGAACTTTGACAAGGTTAGAGTGATTTAAGAACAACGAATACACGATCGAGTGTATTTTTATTCATAGTGACATAATAAACTTGGTTCAGCATTTTTGGCAGAAGTGAGATGATTGGCAGAATTCAGTTAGATTTCAAAATCACAAACCGCCTGATTGATATACGGTCATCACTTTGATGCTAAATTTTTGCTCCAACGTTGCATTTATATTTACAATTCGATTAAAAAACCAATCTTAAATTCATGGAAACTTTAAAGTGCTTATAGAATCGGTGATATCAATTATAAAACTTTTAACTAAACTCGGGCTCAACTTCTTCAGGTACTCGTTTCTTTATTAAAACTAATTTTGTATGTCATCATCCTAGCATTAGGCAAAGCTTCAATATTTGGTGAAAAAAGTTCATTTAAAGACATCTGTCATACGGATTCTATTTGATATTTTTAGTCCTAGGCCGCTAGGCACTAGCACGGATTTGTTTTTCACATTGCTTCAGGCTAGACCTAGGGGTTGTGGGCATTATCACTTAGATATAATTCATAGGTAACTTGGCAGGACTCGAACCCGGGACCTCGGGGACCGAAGTCCCGCGCTCTAGCCACTAGACCAGCTCAAACCCCCTACATTTGATATGAAGTAGGCCTATTATACACTTACCATTGTATAAAATTTTGACATTAAAATTGTAATTACGAAAAAAATACATTATGTCTAGGACAGTTGGTACATCTGTTGAATAAGTCGTAAGGTAAATCTTTCATATTTTTCCTTGTTACAGATCAAATGGCGAGTCTACCCTGAAATAAAAAAGGTAAGTAGTTTCTTGAATATAAAACAATAATTGCATGATTGTTTCAACACATAGGATGATTTTTTGTTTTCTAAGAACCTATCATTCATAAGACTGAGTTATTAAAAATATTATTTGCAGAACCTTTGCCTTTGCAAGTACAACTTTTCTGTAGATGGATGTATACAAACTATTTTCTAAAATTGTAAAAAACAAACGTGATTCACATATATCTTTTAAATCCAACAGATTTATATTTAATATCTCATTGCATTAGAACTATTGGCAGGACAACAATTTTAAATCTTAACATTTAACATTTTAATAATTATATTTCTTAGTTTTTATATCAACCAATTTCCTAAAATACATTCAAATTTACTGAGTGTTTTGAATTACAATAATTTATTTCATTAAAAGGTGTTTTAGAACTACAACTGATTTATTTATATAAAATAAGTAACATACTTCAGCTGTAATTTACATTTCAATCTATAACTTTGTGACGTGATAATAAACGTAAGAAATTTACTTCATGGAGATAATGGAAAGTTATGGTGGACACAGGTGTTGTTGGGAGTTGAGTTTTGATGTTTTGATGTTTCCAACAGTTTCATATCGGAGTTTGACACTTAAAATGAAGACAACCTGTTCTTGTTTAGTTCGCTTTACAAAGCTGTTTAGTCAGTTGAAGCAATTTTTTTACTGGGGAAATACATTTATAATTTTAGTAAGTAAAAAAGTGCATGAAACTGTTTTTAGGGATTACTAATACCTGCAGTTTTTAAGGCTATTATGATTTTTATGATTTATACCTTTTTACTTTAGCCTATGCATTTAAACTGAAAGATTTGGTTTGTATCGTTTGATACAATCAAGAGACATATCGTTGATTATATCTCAAAAACCATCTTACAAGAAATTATTAGAATAAAATTTAACAATGAAAATTATAATGTTGTCATATGCTGAAAATTTAATATAGGATTCCCAAACTATATTTCGTTTGTTTAACAATCGACTGAATACCCTTACGTTTTTGAAGAGCATAATCACACAACCCACTTGGGTGCCTACTGCCTAGCTAAAGATGAATACGATTCCATAATCTATTTATGATGAAATGTATGAAGTAGAAAATAATGATATATTAAGAATGATATCAAATATACAGAGTGGTCACGAATAAGCGTTAAAATTTTTGTTTTGTATAAGAGGGGCATAAATGGAACTCGTGAACATGGCTTGAAAAAATATATCTCATATACACCCCCAGATATGAGAGGTTTTAATTTTTTTGAAATAAATTGACATAATTGCAAAAATGTCACATTTTTCGGGTTATTAACTTTCATCAACATTTAACAGTACCATCGCGTTCTCCATAAGATTTTTTATAAAAATACATGCATTTAAACTTGCCTAAATCTGTACAGCTACTTATTAAATTGAATAGAAATAAAAATTGGTGTTTTTTTTATATTAAAAAATACGTAAACATAAAACTTCTTTAAAAACAAGATTTTAAAGAGCAGCAAATGCTTTTAAAAACTGCTTCATAATATAAGCTTTTAAACAATACCGCAAAACGTAATATTTTATCCCGATAAATGTCCTCCATTCAAGTTTGAATGGCGTAAAACACAGGTTATCCAAGAAATTGTTCACTACTGTCGCGTCGTAATAATGTTTTTTTTTTCGATTATTTAAAATAGCCCCATCGTAAAAGAATCTGTTAATCAATTTTTTGGCAATACTTTTAATAATGGGTCAATAAACTCAGCAATAAAACCAATCTTATACCAATCCAAGTAAGAAATGTATGACATAACATTAAAAATTAATTATAATCCATTTCGTAGTAGATAAATTTGTTTTAATAGCTTTAAAATATGGTAAAATGAAAATATTACATGAGTTAGGGATTAAATTGAACACATGAGTCAAATTATTTAGTTCCGGATAGTTAAAACTTTCAAAATTTTGGATAGATTGTACAGACATTTGATCGCGTTTAAATTTAAAATACAATTAGTCCTAAAATATTGAACATTAAAAGATTAAATAATGGATTAAAATAAACAAAAAGCTATGAGGGGCCAAATTGATTTTGGGCATAATATACATTTTCAAATCCGCCGGAGAAGTGGAAAACTGTGTGGACATTTGAAACTAGAGAGAACCTCGGCATTTACTTAAGAAAATTTTCTAAATCATGGTAATTCTGAAAAATGACTTTCAAAAGAGAAAATTTTAGTCTTTGTCTGAGCTACTATTCTGCTTAAATCAGCTATTTATTACATCATTTAACATAAGGTAAATGGCCACTCTAAAGTACACGATAGTTTTATTTTGTGTTGCTTACAAACCTTCTGATTAGGAGGCAAGACCTAACACAGTAATATAAATTGCTATTTTATAATATTGAATTTAATGGTAATACAACCGACAGTTTTCAATTGGATGGATCAGATGGCTTACAAATCTTCTAATTAAGATGTTTACAACTGAAAAAGTAATATATATTACTAAATATATAGATACACCATATTATGTATTACCATATAGTAATATATTAAATATATTGCAAGGAAATTCAATCGATAATTTCTATTTGGATTGACTGGACTGCTTCCAAATCTTCTGATGTGAAGTTTTCAACTTTAAAATATGATTTTTTACCGCCTTGAAATAGTATAAAGAATAGTAATATGAGTATAAATAAGTTTATTAAGCTGTTCAAGTAACCAACGATCTTATTACCAGCCAAAAAGTCAATAAGCTCTACCAGGGTGTAATATGATTAATGATGTGTCTTGAGCCATCCTGCTTCAGGTATAAGACGGATCTCTTGCGGTGTGTTTAGTTAAAATATTATCTTCAACGAAATTGATAACCACATCCCAAGTTAGGTTTAAGATGGTCGTGATTCAGATCCATATCTGATATAATCACCACTAGAGGAAAATTTCAAGTATTCGTTCATACAATCTATACATTTCAAACAAATAAATCTGGGCATTTCTGTTGTTTGTAATGAAGGCCTTTTTTCTCAAGGACGCAAGGCACGGGCCCAGGATTGTTTTTTACATTACTCAGGCTAAGCCAAGGGGCTTTGGCGCTATCACTTGGATAAAATTCATTGATGATTTGGCGGGATGTGAACCCTGGACCTCAGGGATCGAGGTCCCGCACTCTAACTAGACTACTCGCCCCCCCCCCCCCTCCTGTTAGACAGGTCTTAAGGATTGTCACTATAATAATAAATGGAATTGGTTGATCAAAGTAGCTCAAAAATAATTTTTTACGAGAGAAGGATTAATTTTAAGTAATATTAACAAGTCAGTAGATACTGATGCTGTGAGTTCAACTAACTGTACACCAAGGGGCTATGTAGTTAAGTCACAAACTAGTTCATAAATGATAAAGTAACCTGCAGAGCTAGTCCATACCACCCATGTTGCTTTTCCTTCTTCACAATATAATGATAGTTTTTAATGTGCAAAATACAAATTATTAGGTCTCAGCTGGATTTATATAGTCTATATGTCGATGAAAACTTATTCAACAATTTTATGCTAACACATAAACCTATTAATTGCCGAGACTCGAATAGTATCCAAATGAAATTGAACATACTTTCTAGCAGCACAAGGTATATCGTTTATAATTACATGAGTTATAATATCAATAACTAATTATTGTGTAAATGCCGTACCGAATGCGCAAAAGCATCTCTCATTGAGGTGGTGTATTTGCCTCTTTGACTAAGTCCCCTCATAATATCAAAAAATGTCATTAAAATGAAACTGTTGTACTGATGTACTGATGAACCCGTAAATCTAGGAAATAATGCAATACGATTACCGTAAAAAAATTCGTGATAATATTGGTAATTTTAAACATAATTGCTAAACATTGTTTCTACTCTAGTATTGACAGCCAATGGAGAAATTTTAACATAAATAACCTTGTGGGATAATGTTAATTGGACATTTACAGCGTTAATTGGTAATAGATACAAACAGATAATTTAACATTGTAAGCTTAATGCTATGGTAAGCTTATCAGCTTTGGTAAACAAATAAGGTATGATTTGCTTGTTTAATCCTGTACAAAACAAATGAGTGAATACTGGTCAACCAGTGGAAATATCTTGTGAGTTGTATTTAATGAATCAATAGTACGAGTATTTTGTGTTCGATAATATGAGTATTTGGTATTTAATATTATAATTAGTTAGTAACATCACAATTGTGTTATTTTACGAAACAAATATTTTATCATGATCTGCTGTACCCCAGAAATTCAAAAAAAAAAGCGGACAAGCTAAATACTTATTGCGATGAGAAAGGTGAGATAGGTTTAGATAATTAATTTTCCATAAATAACAATTACAATGATACATAAGTGACTTAAGAACAACAGTAAAAGGAAAAAATCCCGGCTAATATGTGTTCGTCTGCGTAGATAAAGCCAATGCCTCGTAAGTAAACTACGTATAAAGACAAATGAAAATGTAAATTCAAATGTTATTTATAAAAAAGGTTTCCTCACATTAAAACATAAAATTATTTACTTTATTTCTAGTAATGATGAATTTTATGGAAACATTTTTTTACTAATGAATTGAAAATGTTTAAACAATATGAATGGATGCCGAAAAATTAAAATTATCCAAAACTGTAATATAGAAGCTTTATAATTTATAAATGATTAAATGCAATTTAATTATGGCTAGAAATTGCCTACCCAACACAAAATGAAGCTCTAATACAGGTGTTTTGGTTAAGCCTGGTTCATGTTCCTTAATTATATTCTCAATAAACTTCGTTACGGCCAACAGTATCCTTTAAGATTAAGTTTAGGTAAACGAAAATCAAAACCTGATAATGAATATTTACTATTTTAAAAGGATATTACAAGTAACTTATCGGGCTATTTGAAAACTAGATTTACCCCTTTGAAATAAATTGAAAATGTACTCCCTATTAAAATGTTCGGTAGCATATCATTCTAGTTATTTTATTTTTTTGTAACTAAGGGAAACCTATTGTGGACAGGTATAATGTTTCGAAAACAAGGCTTAAGCAGCAATTGAGCTGTATCCCAACGAGAAGTTGAAAGGAGAGGAAAATTAGTTACGTTGTGTACCAAGCAACCTTAAACGTTGGGGATCTATTATAATTGTTTCTTGGTAAATTTTACTTATCGTGGTGTAAAATTTGTATTCCAAAAGCGCACAAATAATTACATTTCATGTTTTATAATTGAGGGTAATCCTAACATGATTGCTATAAATCCGTGTTCACATTAATAACCTCAAATCCCTGGCTAAAACAAAACATGATGTCGCTTCGGCTGCTTTAATCCCAATTTGAAATTGGTAGGGATGTGAACATTGAGAAAATCGCCTGTACATAGAAGCAATGTTAATATATCGGTAAGTATCGATACTTTGATATATTATATACAAAGTTTACAAAATCCTTGAAATAAGTGTTTTTAGCACAAACATACATTATTCAAAAGTGCTCTGTTTAACTGTAAAAAAAAAACATGTATGAAGGCTGTCAGGTAATAGGTGATGCTTACTATGAGGTAGTAACTGTGGTTTTGGAACAATTATATAAAACACACAAGGCTGAATATTATACGATAGCCGAGCATCGCTCAACAAGGGTATTATAAGCACGTAGCTTTATACGTTTTGAAACTTTCACAATTGTTGCGGGATACTTAAAAACCTAACTTTAAGGACTAAACTTAGTTAAATTATTTTATTTAACTATTTCTTAAAATAATTAATATTATAACGATTCTTTAGCTCGACGATATACCGGTATTTAAATTTTAAGTTAGATTATATTTGGCTTATTTAAAAACATTGTTGGCTCTTTGTACGAGAGTTTCCCTAATGCTCTTGGATCTGGAAATATTTGCCAAATCCGAAATAGTATTAGGAAATTATTTTGAAAATCCCAAATGGAGTCTCACTAAATTTTAGGAAAGTCGGAATCTTCTAAAAAAGGGCAGCTAGCAGTGCTTGAGATTGAGGAAGACTCAGAATTAGAAGAATATTTAAATACCCTTGAGTAAAACCCCCTTTAGTAATTGTTTGTACGCTAACTATCTGTGTAATTGTAGTAACTGTGTGTATGATAACTGTATTATGGGGCAGAACTGATATTACCGTTTAAATTACTTACAGAGCAGCCATCTTGAAAGTGTTTCCATGATACATACAAACAATACCTCGAATTATAAAGAATTATTAATACCTGGAACCTTCTACTCCATCCAGACAATGTTTCACCATTTTCTAAGCCTACACATTCCGTAGTTGTGTGATAAAATGCTCCTATAGTCTACAAAGCTCTATATGATAGGATTCTAAAACCTTCTTGAACACATTCATCCCAACAGTAGATGAAACCTTCGTATGTATCTCTTTGAGATACCCTTTAAACGAAAAACAAATTCGCTTCATGTGAATACAATTGTCATTTACTATTGGTTACGAGAGACGTGTATCAGGTGAAATCAGTTTTAACTACCTAGATATATTGCTGAATGAAGCGTAAAACGCGCCAGGATTATTCAAAGTCTCTGAAAGCTCATCAGCCCACAGTGTTAATAATAAACTACGACTATCCGATAAACCAACCACGGGTGGTGAAACTTGCAGCATTAACTGGTACAACGACAGAGTCAGGGGTGAAACAAACATTGAAACAAATCGCGATAGCAATTGGCTTAGTATGAGTGAACTCTTTTAAAACAATAAATCTTTACCATTGTAAATTCATGAAGATTGTGATGGTCAAGTTGTATTTTTTTTATTATTGGAGCAAAAGTTATTGTTTTTATACCACTTAATCGATTGATGATAGGAAACTAAAGTTAACTTGTGACGTCATTGATGACAGTCAATATTCACATTCACTCCGATATCTCATTAATATCTTCCATGTCTCGTAAATTTTAGCTTAGAGATAACATTTTATTTTAAGGTTTATTCGAATTTTATAAAATTCCTAATAAAATATTTATATCATAAATTACCCTGCTTTTTGTTGCAAAAAGTGCTATCCTACAAAAGGTTTTGTAGAATAAGTTCAACGTAGGTTATTGAAAAAATCTGGAATTTGACTGTTCCCTCATAATAGACATAAAGATATAAAAAACATACTAAATACAACCTTGCAATTCTCAAAACTTTATTTTCACACTTTGTTTTGCATTTGTATACTTAAAAGTCCATCTAAAATCTGACTACAATAGGCAAGCGTGAAATAAAGTTAAATAAAACCATATTGATCAATAGGCTAGCTAAAATTAATCTTTTTTTTTTCTTTCAGGGTCCATCAAATATGCAGAGCAAGGTGAGTTAAACAATCTATGTTGATCCAGGAAAATATTTGTAAGTTGAAAACCAACTAAAAAATCTACAATAAGTGTTAATTTTGAGTGTTTTAGGACAGAATTAACTGCAGAATAAGTGTTTTATACTTAATAAAAATAAGTGTTAAGTCCGATGGAAAAGTTTTATTCATTAGTAGTCAGTAACAATAATGAGCAATCTAATTGAAAGTGATATGCCATTTCAGTTAATTAATGAGTTTGGAATCAAATGACAGGAGGATGTTAATGATCCACCCAAAACAACTTGCTACAAAACTCAATGAAATTCGAGAGAATTATTAAAATGATGAATGCATGAACGTCAGTCATCAAAAGAAATTTAGTCAAATAATGTTGTTTATTATCAATCCTTCGAATTTTTCCTTCCGGTCATTTTTAAAAATATAAACACAAGTTGGTTAATGGTTATACTGTATTAGGACTTGGACCTATTTATTGATTTATCAATGAACAACTAACAGTATATCAGAAATCAGAAATCAGAAATCAGAATCTTTATTGCCGTTGATCAAATACATTGAGATAGGCATTGTCAAATTAGGCTAAATATTTACATTGGTCGATAATACAAAGTAACAGAGTAAAAAAGGCTTAATCTAAGGCTAGATTACAACAGTCGAACCCAAGAATTCTTGAAGAGTGTAAAATGGATTTTCTAACAGCCACGAGTAAACTTTAGACTTGTAGATAGGAATGGTTGCTTCAAAGAGAGGCTCAGGCAGCTTATTATAGAACTTAATACAATTTATTTTAAAAGAGTTACCTGTAAGTGCTAGCCGGTGCTGAGGAATGTCCAGTGCTCCTTTGCCTCTTGTGTTATGTGAGTGGATGTCCTGTCGAGTGTAAAATTTATGTAGATTACATTTTGTGTACATCAAGACATTGTAAATGTATAGGTTGATGACTGTGCAAATGCGATATTTTATAAAGAGTGGTTTGCAGTGTTCCACAGGGCCCACCCCGGCGATAGTGCGGATGATTTTCTTTTGTAGCAAAAGAACATCATAAATATGAGGTGAATGACCCCATAAAATAAGACCATATTGCAAATGAGATTGAAACAAGCCAAAATATGCTGATCTCAGGTACTCCATGCTGATAAGAGGTTTAAGTTTCCAAAAAAGATAAATGACTCTTGACAACTTTTTACAAAGATTGTTAATATGAGTTTTCCAGTTCAACCTGCTGTCAAGGTAAATTCCCAGAAGTTTGACTGAATTTTCAGGTAGGTTTTTTAAGAGAGAAAATATTATGCTTTGAGTTTTATTTTCATTACAAATAAGTTGATTAGAGGAAAACCAGTTCAAAACATGATTGTTTGCATCCTGAATTGTGTGGTCAAGAAGGTTTAGATCTCTATTGGCAGCAAAGATTGTTGTGTCATCAGCATAGATTGTACATTTTACAGGTAAATTACGAGGAAGATCATTTATGGCCACAATAAAAAGAAAAGGGCCAAGGACAGAGCCCTGCGGAACACCAGCCTTGATTTGTGTAACTGATGAATTTTTACCTTTAACACATACAAACTGTGATCTATTGGTTAGATATGATTTGAGTAATTGTAATGAGTTGCCCCTAATTCCATAAAATTGAAGCTTCTTAATCAAGATATCAAAAGGGATACAATCAAAAGCTTTGGTGAGGTCATAGAGGAGCATTGACACTGATTCTCTATTTTCAAATGCATTCAAAATGGACTGTGTAATTTCTGACACCGCCAATGTAGTGGATCTACCTGGTCTGAAGCCATACTGTGAATCAGTTAACAGGTGGTTTGAATCAAAATAATTAGTTAACTGCTTTAAAATAATTGCTTCAAATATTTTAGAAAATGTTGGAACAATGGAGATAGGGCGATAATTTTGACAAAGTGATTTATCTCCTTTCTTAAAAACCGGAATTATTTTAGCAATTTTTAATTTTTGTGGAAAATGCCAGCACGTAGGCACTCATTGATGACCAGAGCCAAAGGAGTTTCAATTAAGTGTATGGTCTTCTTAATTATGTAATTTGAAAGCCAATAACTATCCATAGATTTTGAGTTTGAGAGTTTATAGACAGTGTTGGTTACCTCATCTGGTGTAATGCAAGTCCAATTGGAATGTATGTTCTCACTTGGTTCAGGTCCAAGCAAGTCCTCAGCTGTTGTGCATGTTTGGCTTACCAGGTTGGTAAGTTCTTCAACTGAATCTGTAAAATAACTATTGAGTGTATCTTGGTCTATTGTAACTTCGGGTGTACGAGTTGTAGTGTTTTCATGTATTATAATGTCCCAGGCAGCTTTGCACTTGTTATTTGAAGTATGAATGAAATTCTCATAAGCATTTTTCTTGGCAGTAGCTAATTCTTTCCTGTAGTACTTTTTTATTCTAAGATAAGTGCTGTAAGCTGACTGAGCCCTTACAGAATCCAAGTTTAAGAGATTTTTATACTTAGTATAGTGTGCTAACATCAAGTCTCTAGTCTGCTTTAATTGAGGACTAAACCAGTTTAGTTTATGTTTTTTACCTTTTACATTAGTTTTCTTACGGGCTTTTTTACTAACAAGGGGCGAGCAGTAATACCAAAGTTCTCTAAATCTATTGAAAAAAGCATTAAACAAGTCTTCTGCAGTACCATTATGGTTATTAAGACAGTCCCATGACTCATCCATTAAAACATGACAAAACTTTGTAATATTTATATCATTTTGCTTCCTGAAAAACAGGGTTGGCCCAGTATCAGTTTTATTATTATCTAGTGTGACATGTGTCTTATATTTAAAAAGTAAAGGATCATGATCTGCAATTGTACCTGGCAAGAGTGAAATTTCATAAAATTCTCTAGAAAAATTTACAATAACATTATCAATACACGATTTATTCCTAGTAGGTAGATTATTTGTACACACTAAATCTAATGTCCTAAGTAAATTCATGAAATTTATTGAGTTTTGTTCAATAACATTAGCCATTTCAATGTTAAAATCCCCACAGATAATTAACTTACTGCCCCCTCTCATCAAACTTTTAATTGCATTTTCAAACATTTCAAAAAAAACATTAACATCACCATTGGGTGATCTATAGACACTAACAATAGTAACATTTTGTTTTATTAATCTAATACAACATAGTTCACAATTAAAGTCAGATGAAAAACAATCAAGATTAATAGATTCAAACTCAATCGATTCTTTAACAAAAATAGCCGAACCACCATTTCTATTACTACTCCTACATCTAATACTAGCAGTGATAAAATTATTTGGTACAAAAATTTCGACTTGATCAGACGATAGCCAATGCTCTGACATACAGATAACCTCAACTTTTTCTAAAAAACAAAGATGTTCAAGAGATAAAATTTTATTACGGAGACACTGGCTGTTTACTTGTAAAATTGTTAAAAGGTCATCTTTGACAGAACTACCTCCGGACATAGGCCTATTTAAACTACCACTAAAAAAGAAGAAGAGTCAGCATTTTGTATACCTTCGTCAGGTCCTCGGGGTAGAATACTTGCCGGCTGTGTAGTTACCTGCGATGAGACAATACCTTCAGGATTCTGGGTAGAACTGGGTGGAGAAGCTATAGGCAATGAGGGATGATCAGGTAAAGTTTCGACTATCGATGTAGGGGTCACTACAGTTCTTTGGATCTTGATAATTTTACTGATGAGATTTACGAGCACCCTCTTCCCCTTAGCGTTGAAATGCTGTCCATGTCTAGTGTGAAAAGATCTGTCACAACTTTCAGTATTTATAAGAGAAACATTATTGAAAACCTTACAGAGATCCTTGATTTTCCCATTAGTTTCAGAAATCAGTTTATTAACAACCGATGAATCAGGTAAATCATGTCTATGAGGAACATTGGCAACTATTACCTTTGTACTTTTCAGCACCTGTAGAGTATCTCTAAGTCCGTTCACCACATTATCAGAAGAGTTTTTAGCTATATCGTTAGCCCCAGCCATGAGCACAATATAGTCATCTGGTCCTAAATCTTCACATTCATACTTCACGTTGGCAGTTACATCACAAAAAAGAGCACTAGGTTTGACAGTTCCCTCAGTATCAAAATACTGGCCCCACGCTGTCCTTGAAATTATTGAGGAAATGCCACGACCAAAACTATCAGTGTAGATTCTTATTTTCTTGGTTTTCCTGGATGATTTGGTAACTTTAGTAGGCTTAGTCCAGTCAGACGATTCATATTGATTTGTGCGAGGCCTAGACAAAACTGGAGAAACCTGCTGGATTTTTCCTGTGCGCCTCCTCGCATATCTTCCCCGCTCGTCTGATGTGGGTTGGTTATCAGACTTAAAACTTGTATTATCCTCTTGGTACAAACAGGTAAATCTATTACTAGTGGAGATAGGTGGGAAGTCCCTAATGTTTACTGGAAAGCTACCATTTAGGCCCTCCCCTACACTGGAGTTTCTAGAAGACCAAGGCCTAGGCCTATTTTTAGAGACAGGTAGAAACTCATTAGGCCTACTTATTGTATCTACTAATTCTGGATTTGAGGTTAGGCCTACTATTTCCTGTTCACGCTTTAAACACATTTCACTTAATTCTGTAATTCTCCGCGCAGCTTCTTCATAAAGTCTCTTATATTCCTTAACATCAGCCTCCAACAATGAGGCATGCTTGGTTAAATTCTTAATTTCTTCCTTAAGCTGCTGATTGGTAGACTTAAGTCCACACTTTTTTATAAAATACACTTTTGATACTTTTAGTAATGAGAGTTAAAATGTACAGAGATTATCGTCACCTTAGAATGTTGTCCTTTCAGTGAATTTCAATCAAATGAATCTCACTTGTAAGGCAACATTTCCTTTGATTGAGTTTGAGAACCAAGCTGATCCGATCATGGTAATGGCAGTGGGTAAGGTGAGAGAATATACACAAAATCTGGGTTTCTTACTCTTTGGATACTTATAAACAATGTCAAGGCATGTTTCAAAAAGAAGT